TTATGGATGAATTTTTTGACTATGCGTTATTTGAGAGAGATCAAGAACTTGAACAAGTTAATTCAGAACAAAGTGTTCTTTCACCAGATGATAATTGGTCTATTGAGGATATTCTTTTTGAAGACTAAAGTTGTAAAAAAAAAAAATAATAAATAAATATAAATTTATATGTATTATTAAGAATAAAAGATAGCAATAGAAAAAATACAGTAATAAATAAAAATAAATAAAAAATTGGTTATAGAGGTGTGGCAACTTAGTGTAGTGGTCTAGTCGTTATCCTTTCCAAGTGGCAGGTCTAGAGTTTGAATCCCATGGATGATGATTTTTGAAAATTAGGCTTGTGTTCGGTTAATAGCTATGCTTATCGGTTAGATCTAATCTGTAACTTCGGTCACACCATCTAGTAATGGGAGCAATGGCGCAATAAATCTGAGAAATCGGCATAACCGAAAACCTATTTGGGAAGTCCCGAGTTAGGAGTAGCAGTGATCTATGATGGTATCACAAGAGGGCTGAATTCGAACTGGGGCCTAAGATCAGAGAACCGAGCAACTAGGTCCTAATGGTGAAGAACACACTAGCCGAACTGCCGAGTTGTCGCACTGGAGAAAAAGGACATATGCTCTGAAAGTATGTACTAAGGGGAGGGCGTCTTTCAGGCACCTAAAGCCTGGGAAGACCAACCTTTTCGAGTTGTCAACTGGAAGTAAAGGAGGGACCAATAAAGAATCTGGGTAAGAAAATAGTCTAAATGTGGGTATCAGGGTTGTTGTGAACCTATACAAGGGCGGAAGTAGGTAACAGGTCTAATTAGGAAGGTTGTCGCTTGTCGAATTGGGTTGCGGCAGCACTCTTGAACTTTAGGGATGGCTTGAGATAAGAACTTGGTTACGGTAGCATAATTGGTACTAGTTAGATAGAGGTTTAATGGTTAGCCCTAACCCTGAGTACATAGGTCAAGCTGTGGTGGTAGATTACCGAAGCCTGGGTGAATACATGGGTAGGACATGTACCCTAGTAAAAAGTTAGTCACCGGCTTCAATGTTGAGGTTCGGTGTGGTTTCATGATAAAAAGTGGTGCAGCTATCACATCTAGAACTTAGTAAAGCAACCAGGTGGAGTCAGGTGTTTCAGTAATTTATAGTTCTATAGTACTGGCATCTGTCGTTTAGAAATAGTTCTTATACGCTATTTGCCGACAGGCTTAGAGTTTATCACTTACCAACTATGTTAGTTAGCTAGCATCATTTGTATACATGAATTATTTACTAAAATAAATACCTGGCAAGATATGCCAAAGTTAAAAAAAAAAAAAAAAAAAAATTGGTTATTAAACAACAAAAATTTAAAAAAAAAAGTTTAATCATAGAAATATAATTAATGTCTATCATAGACATGCTGATTATATACTTTTAATCAATTATATATTTTAGTAATATGGTAATGATCTAACGATGCAGGAATTTCACGTGATTTATACATAGAGAGCATGCTTTAGGGGCATGCCTTAGCCTGAGGCATGCCCAAATATTTTTCCATGCCTGCCACTCTACTATATAAACAATATATTGTTTATATAAAGATTTTATATAGTCATTAACATGATTTCTAAAGATATCTCAGCATTTACTAGGCCGATTTGGATGATTTAACCACTATTTGAACCACAACAATGTACTCTACAACTTTCAATTAATTGACTTTGTGATTAACTTAGTACGAAAAAAGTTTTCCTTAAATGTATGTTAGAAATTTTTCACATTTACTCTATATTAGATTTACATAGTGATCTGCATTACATTACACTATGATCATGCATTTGTTAAGTGGTGGATCATCAATTAATTGGTGATCCACCAGTCAACCAGAGAATAATTATAGTAAAATGTGACTCAAATTACTTATAAAAATTAGAGATCTCTAAATGTGGCGTGCACATATCTAAAACTTTTTTTATACTAAGTTAATCACTTTTCTAACTTAAGAAACTTTTGTAGAGCTTATCAAGATGTATCTAATGGTAGTTAGAGCATCAAAATCGGCTTGGTGGGTACTAAGATATTTTTAAAAAACGTTTCTTTTACTATGTAAAATTCTTTGCAAACAATACTATTGTTTGTAAAGAAGTTTACATAGTAAAAGAAATATTTATAAAAAAAATATCTTGGTATCTACTAAGCCGATTTTGATGCTCTAACCACTATTAGATGCATCTTGACAAGCTCTACAAAAGTCTCTTAAGTTAGAAAAATGATTAACTTAGTATAAAAAAAAGTTTTAGATGTGCACATCTCACATTTGGAGACCTTTAATTTTTATAAGTAATTTGAGTCACATTTTACTATAATTATTCTCTGGTTGACTGGTGGATTACCAATTAAAGTACTTTTCAAAAAAAAGAAAACTACTACAAATAAACAAAAAAGAAGTATATAGAAAGTTTTATTAGCATTGTAGAACTTCATTATTAAAAATAATCAAATTTCTTTTTTGTTTTAGAGAAGTTAGCATAGTGATAATTTAATTTTATTTATTTTTAAGAAGTTGCTATTATGCTAACTTCTTTAAAACAAATAAAACTTTCTATATACTTCTTTTTTGTTTATTCGTAGTAGTTTTCTTTTTTTTAAACTATATAAATAATATAAAATTAATTTAATTTAAACAGCCAATTATATGAATGTCTGTCTATGAAATTAGAACAAACCCAAATAAGAATTTTGTTATTTGACTCTAATTATACTAAAATCGATTTTTTTTTTATTTAAACCCTAATTTTAATCGACTAAAATAATTTGTAAAATTTCTATCCGAGACAATTTCAATCTGTAGAATATAACAGGTATATCATCATTAATACATATAGCAGATATTTTATCTTTATCAGAAAATCCAGACCTTTATCAAATTTTAAAAATAAAAAATGAATTCAAACCAATTTTGGTCTTGCTAGTTGATAATGAACCCGACAAAAAATTCTTAATATTTGAAAAACATTAAAGAATATTGCAAATTGTTTAAAAAATTAAACCTTGATTATTTTACTATTTGAACTCATACTCCAAAACAGTTGGCCTACAACCCAGTAGAAAGAAGTATGTTTACTCTTTTGAGAAAGTTAGGAGGAATTGTTTTACCTGTTGATCATTTTGGATCTTATCTTGATACTATGAGGAATGTTACAGATACTAATCTTAAAATTCGCAATTTTTGTTATGCTAATGAAAAACTTTATGATTTATGACAAAGAGATAATATACATGAACACAAAGTTGCTATAAACTATATTAATTATAAAATTAATTCTTTTGATAAAGCTTTTGATATTTCCTAAAGCTGAATTAATAAACACTGTCAAATATATCACTATTTTCTTGAAATACAAAGGTGTAATGATTTTAGATACTGTTTTCCATGGAGAAATGAAGATGCAGGAGCTTTGCTTGCAGAAAATAACAAATTCTTACCACGCTTACTAAGAACCAAGATGGTTACTTTCTCAGCCTCTATCTATATACTTCAGTATATAGATAAAAATAAATTACAAGACTATAATCAAAACTGCCCTTCTATTTGCCAGGAAATATATTTATGATTGACTTGTTCTATTTGCAAGTGATACTTCTCTACCTTAGCATTTCTTACTCAATATAAAAAAGCAATTTATTTTTTTACTATTTATAGAAAACCTAAAAATAATGCTATAACAGATAACTGTCTTCCGCTATTATCTTATGTTTATGTAGAAACAGTATTAGACTCAAGTATGTTAAATAGTTAACACTTAAATAAAGAACCCACTTTCAAATATCTGTTATCAGAATTTCATTCAATATAACACTTTGCCAACTTAGTGTCAAATATAATTCAAAAAAAAAATTAAAGAGTGGATAAATAAAAATAGGAATATTAAAATTGAATTAAAGAATGAAAAAATGAAGATGTAATAGAATAGAAAACTTATAAATAAAAACTGCAGAAATAAATAAAATAACTTATATTTACTTGTAATTATTTTTTATTTTTGTATATTTATAATAAATATTCATTCAAATTACAAAACTCTTCTCAACGATCATTTGGCACACAATAACAACAGCAGATTAAAGCTGTTTAAGAGTGAAAACATAGCCAAGGACATTATTAAACACTTTAAAAAGTGTTTAAAAGGTGCTGTAGACGTTAAACTAGCAGTATTTAAGGGATATCAACAAGTAGCAAAGCGATTTGGAGAGAAGAAGTTTAATTTTTAAGTTTTTATAATCGCTCGTCAACAAGATACTGAAAACACAAGATCAACCTAACATAGACGACTTAAAGTCAATACAATAGTGGAAAAAAGCAAATTAGAGTTGTTAGAAAGGGTTTTTATTGCTTTAATGAAGCATATAACAGCTCTAGCAACACGAAGATAAAACTTTCTTGCTTATTCCAAATTTTAGAGAAAACAGCGTTAACCCTGTAGTGTAGATCTTTTGTATAACACAAATTGACACATAAAGGCACATTGTTACACACAAGCTATTCCATAAATTTGACACGTTAAAACACGTTAAAACACGAAAAAACATGTCAAAATCATGTGGTATTGGAGTTACAAAATAGAGTTAGCAACAAGAAGTAATAAGTATTAAAGAGATAAATAGTAAACACGTGATATCCAAAATAGCAATTGCAAAAAATGCCATCACTTGTAGAATATAGAAACTTCTTTAAAAAGTCGGAAGAGAAGAAATTAAAGCTTTACAAAGCACAAAGTACAACAGTACTAAAGAAAGATATACATGTTGCAAAATATTTAGATACAAATGATAGTCATTTAATATCAATTATACGTAATGTTTTAGATAGGTATAAATGAGTACAGAGTAGAAAGGTCAAACAAGACGTAATCTCAGATGAAGAAAGAACATTGCTAGAACTAAATACAAAAGCTAATGAGCCTCATTTTGAAAAAAAACAAAATAAGTTGGTGTCTGCAACTATAGAGGTCAGTTATGACAAGTCGGTCGTGTTGACAACTGATTATGGTAAAAAGGTGCAGAAGAACAATCAAGATTGTGCACGTAAAAGAAGTTTGTCAGAATATGATGATATAAATAATATTGATAAACTAGCTATTAAACTAGAAAAAATTGCATTGGTCCAAAACGAGATTGGTGTTATCGATTATGGAATAAAAGATCAACTAGCCAATAAAACAAATGACACTGATCAACGAATAGAGAATAAAAGGATCAAAAAGTATGAGAATATTTATAATTCAGCATGGGCGCCAAAGGGAGAAGTTAATTTAGAAAAAATTAAAAATGAGACATGCTACTTTTTCACATTGTGGGATCTCTCGAAGAAAATAAGCGCAGATGAAATTAGAAATTTTTTTGAGTTTTACAGGAGTGCTAAAGTTTTAGACTGGCAATATAGTTTTAGAACTAAAGCAGCCTTTATTAGTATAGAAATAAGTATTAAAGAGCGAGAAAACTCTTTAAGGGAAAGCTGGGCAATACATTTAGATCAAGGTAAATTGTACAGAGTAACACTAGGGAAATTTGACATTATGAAGTTAAAAGACAGAAGCAAGTTTAAAAGTACAATTTACAATGTACCAAGCACAGCATTTGATAGCCTCATGCTTCGACTGTTAAGAAATCACAAAGTACGCATAGTCCATACTCTGAGTAATAGTAATGGTAATCAGAGTAGAAAAGCGCTATTGTATTTTGAAAATGAAGAAGATCTAATGAAAGCACAAAGTTCAAGTTTGTATTATTTTAATACAAAGCTAGAGTGGACCCCTCCTGACACAGAGATAGAAAATAGAAGAGTTGCAAGTTCAAAGTATTATAGTGAATATAAAAAGGTTCTAAGTAATAGAAAAAAACTTGATCTTAATGAAACAGTTTCGATCAAAAAGCCAAGTGCAGACAAAAGGCTGAAAAGACCAAACAACACTATTAAAGAAAGTAAGCGTCTTCATGGTAGTAAAGGCAGTTGGGTTAAGCAAAGAATACCTAAGAAGGAGACGGTTTACGATAAGGAGAATTTAAACCCAAAGCTACATGTTTTCCATCGAGTTTAAAAAGTAAAGCAATAGAGAAGATCGATAAAGCAGAGAGTTTCGATCATAGTTATAAAGACGTCTTTGAAAAAATTTTAGCAAGACTTGACAGAATTGAAGAAAGGTATATGGGGGCCGGAGGCCCCAATCACTTCTAAGGGCACCAAAGGCATGCTCAATGAAAAAGGGGGCTCGTACAGTAAGTTTGTGGTTCGGCAAGACGAAGGCCTCCCTAACAGCACGGACATTAATACAATAGATAATAAAATAGCAAATGAGGTTCAGTTAAGAGTAGCATGTCATAATATTAATGGTATAAGAGGAAACAAGATCAAACTAAAGGCAATATCTGAGTGGGTAAATGATGAAGAGATAGAACTTTTAGGTTTGGTAGAAACTAATGCAAGTGAGAAAGATCTTAGATTTAGCTTAGAAGAGATTAATATGAGGGGCTTTTGGTCACAAGGTGAAATTTCAAAGCGTAAAGGTTCTAGTGTTGGACTATTAGTGAGTCCAGGTTGGGAAAGACATTTAGAACAAGTCACAAGATTTATGAAGTATTTAGTAGAAGCATGTTTTTACTTCAAACAAGTAGTAGCAGTCGGTGTAGTAGTTTATCTCCCACCAAACGACAAAGATATAGTTAAAAGAATTCAGCAAAAGATCGTAACAAGTTTTATGGAGAGAACAGACAAAATGCAGTTTGTTATAATGGGTAATTTTAATCATATTGTTAATAGAGAATTAGATAAATCTAGTTCGGGAAATGCAGCAAGTTTTAAAGTATTACCACTCTATAAATGGTTTCAAAATCAGGATTTGTTGACATATTTAGAGTAATTAATCCAGATACTAAGAAGTTCACATGGTCTGGACAGGAAGTTGAGACAAGAATCGATCAAATTTGGATGTCTGAAGATCTTCGTTATGGTGTTTGAGAGGCTGATATTTGTGAAGCAGATGTTATAACAGCAAGCAATCATGTAATAATAACTGCAGATGTTTCACTCAGATACTTAAATAGAACTCACAGTAAGGCAAGTGAGAAGAAAAAAGAATTTTTAGAGTGGTTTATTTATATGATGAAGCAACAAAAGATAATTGGAAAAGCTATCAAGAAGATCTTGAAAGATTCATTATAGGTAATCAGGCACTTGCCAAGTGTTGGACCACAGCTACATGTGATAGACTCAATATAATATGGGACATTATATCTGGTGCAATAAGGTGTGCTGTGAGTAAGAACATCCCAAAGAAGAAGATACCTGGGTACATATGTGAGAAGAACTAAAAAAAAAGTAACAAGAATATAGTCAAATTAAGTAAGATTATTCAACGAGCAAGAAAGCAGCAGTGTGTGATAATGTCATGTTAAATATAGTATCAGCTGATGAAGAGATTAAGAGAATTAATATTGAGTACTAGGCAGATATACCAGATTTAGAAAACATTGTAAATGAAGGTAATGCACTGCTAAAGTGGACTGCTCGCGCAAAAGAGTGTTGGAAAGCAATGCGAGTACAAGAGAAAGTGGTAGAAGAGAAGGCTACACATAAGAGAATCTATGTAGCAGTAGCTTGTAAATATGAAAAAATTGATGATGAAGTTGGAGCAATGTTAGCAAGCATCCTTGACAAACCTTTTAGAAAGATAAAACTCGACTGTGTTCTAGAAAAAGATAGCAATGTATGGGCCTTGTACAATGAGTTGAGTGATGTTTTGTTTAAAACAGCAGCACATTTTCAAAGTCAATTTAAAGAAAGGAAAATACTTAATGACCAAAGTGTGACTAATAAATTTTATAAACCACTCGAGGAGGTGAATGAAGAGTAGTATTCTGACTTAGACAATGAAGTTACATTAGAAGAATAGTTGGAGGTGATTGGAAAAACAAAAAACAAAACAGCACCTGAAGTTTCAGGAATTGGGTATTTGCTAATTAAGAATGCAGGTATAGAGGTACAAAAGATCTTTAGAAAGTTCACAAGTTTGTGCTTAGCAAGCAGTAATATCCCAGATAAATGAAAGCTTGTACAAGTGTACCCAATTCCAAAAAGTGAAGACTGGGGTTTCCAGTTACATAATATTAGACTGATAGCATTGTTGGAAACCTTTAGAAAGTGTATCACTCGGCTATTAACCAAGAGAATCTCTAAAGTACTTGTAAAACACAAAGTTCTACGTGGGCCAAATTATGCAGGTTTGCCGGGTTTTTCAACAAAAAGTGCAATTAACCTAGTTGAAATGATAGTGGAAGACGCGCACGAAAGCAAAAAAGAGTTGTGGTTAATGCTCCAAGACATGATGAAGGTGTACGACTCTGTTTTAATAAAGACACTTCGTGCTGCACTCCAAAGAATAAAGCTGCTATCTAAAATAATTGACTTTATCATAGAGTTATTTAACAAGAGAAGAGTTAAAATAATTACTGATTTTGGGTTAACTGAGGATTTTGAAGCAGGTGATGGAATCGAGCAAGGAGAGACAATATCTCCATAGTGTGACGGATTTTCTATGATCCCTTATTAAGAAAAATATAGGATAATAAAAAGCTTGGTTATATAGTAAAGACAGACAAAATAGTTGAGCTATAGCTAAATACAACAAGAAAAGAATCAGTAAGGCAGGTAGCGGTAGCTTTTGCTGATAACACTACATGGATAGCAGGAAGCAAAAGTCAAGCTGAACAGATAGTTCAGACAGCGCAATGTTTCTTCAAGTTTAACAATATACAAATAAATGGAGCAAAATCAAAGCTTTTTGTCTATAATACCAAATTGTACAAAAGTGAAAAATGGGTTGAAGTAGATAGTTATAGAGTTCAAGCTGAAGAGAAAAAGTCATTAACATGGTTGCTTGGGGTTTGGATAAGTATAGAATCAAATGAGAGCCTAGTAGTTCAGAAAGCAAGGAGTATTGTTGGGCAGTTTGTAAGAACATTGCATTTTAAGAGTTTATCGATTAGTCAGTTAATTTATATAAACAATATGTGCATTGTTCCAAAGTTAGCATACATATTACAATTAACCAAAATATCAAAGGCAAGTATTGATAGGATTTATCAACCTATAACGTGAATTATCAAGAACAAGATCGGACTTCCAGCAATGGCAGGTAACTACGTAGTGGCACATCAAGGGCTTGTTAGATACAGAACTCTAGGTCAGGAAATCTTTAGTAGACAATTAGTTAGTCTGCAGAATAGGTTGAATAGTCATGATTAAATAGGCAAGTTAACACAAATAAGGTTGAATAAGGGGTTTGCATTAGCAGGTCTCATTGAAGAGACTTGGCACATATCACAGAAGTTGATATTGAGAAAGATATGAAAGAATAACCTAGCAGGCCGAGTTCTATTAAAGGCAAGTGACTTTGGAATCTTGGTTACTCAGAAAAGTGACAAGTGTTTGAAACAGGCCCTACGATCTTATAAGTTTTAGAAGAGGAATTTTTCAGCAAACACTACAATACAATAAGAAGATTTAACTTGTTCTACATCAATCAGCTAATTAATGAAGCTGGTACCGAGATGATAACATGGAGCAAGTTTTGGGCCTTATGAGCTAATTCTCTTAAAGGATGAAAAGCAAAGTGGTTTGGAGTGATCGAAAACAAGATTATCAGCAGTAAGCCAAGCAGAGAAGTATTAGATGCATACAAGTTGCTAGTAAGAAATACATTGTGTATACAGATTGTTGCAGAAAAGGTATCAAGTGACAAGAGGCGTTGAGAATGGGTAATAGTAAATAAGGAAAATACAGAGTCAATAGTAGGTAGAGTTAAGAAGAAGATGAAAACCCATTTTTTAGTTGATCACTAGAAATACACACCAACAAGTGACAGTAGTAATGTATTGTCAGAATGTAATAAATGCAGTTTTGATCAGAGAACTGAAGTTGATATATGCCGACAAAGGTTATCAAGAGAGAAGTACTAGGGGCAATTCCTAAGTCAGGTATAAATAAAAAGTAAAGGAATACTAGTGTTAATAAATGAAGTCAAAGAGTTTAAGTCGGAGGGTAATTTAGTTTTAGAAAAGAGTAGTGAGAGACCACTAATTAATTTGATAGTTGTGTATTCACATGAAAAGAGTTTGGTTATAGAGCAAGGTTTTGATGTTGTACTGGAGTTCTTGTTAGTACAGCAAGTAGAGATTAATTGTAGAAAGGAGAGTAGTAATTATATTTTTTACACAGATGGGTCATTAATGAAGGATAGCTTAGGTTGTAGAATGGGAGCAGGTTGGGTTTTGGTGGATAGTAGTGAAAGAGAGATGATATTAGAAGAAAAAGTTTGGTTTAGTAGATGGCCATCATCAACGAAAGCTGAGTTAGTAGCGATTTGGATGTCACTTTTAACGGTTAGATGCAATAGTGAAGTGGTGATTAAGCTCGATAGTGCAGCAGCAATAGCAAGTTTGTCTAACGCAGTAGTGTTAACTGATACGAGATTGTGAAGCAAGAGGCCGAATGTTGACTTGGTGATCAAGATTCTTGATATTTGCAAGTCAAAGAAATTACACTTGATCTAGTTAAAGTTAAAGCACACAGTAATGTAAGATGGAACGAAAGAGCCAATCAGCTAGCAAAAGCAGGGGCGCAGTTAGACCAAATTTTAGTTTTACTAGTTGAAAACAACTACTGCAAGTTATACACAGTGCATTTAAACAACATACCATTAGAGTTGTTTATGAGAAAGGTAGCTAAAACACTTGTTGGTCTTAAAATTGGTGAAGAGTGGAGGAGTTCACATGCTATATGAACATTTGAAAGTAAAGAAGACACCAGTCATGATTGGCAAGCATTATTGTGCCAAAACATAAAAGTAACAGGAAAAAGGTGCAAGTTCTATAGCGCAAGTAGAAGTATAGTATTTAGAATCAAGTGTATAAGTAAAAATCTACCAGTTCTTTCGGTTTTGAAGAAACGCAGGCCTGATTTATATCTAGCAGATTTATGTATCAGTTGTGAAGCTGAAATGGAGACAACTGACTATCTAGTTGAGTGTACTAGCTTTTCCAT